CTTTGCTCGTAACTTTCAACCAGAATGATTTTGTCACTTGCTTTGTGCCGAAGTCGGTTGCCGGTTATGATATGCGTGGCGTTAAGTTGCTGAAGTTTAACAAAGAGATTTTCTTTGTCACCAATGACGTCATAGTCAGTAAAGCTTTGGACCATAAACTCAAGCTATTTCCGCGAATGATTCTCGGCTTGAACATAAATTTATATGATCGCTCGCGAAATAAAGGAAACGTAAGGACACATGCATGACAGCTAATGAAAGGATTTTGAAACTTGACTGTATAAAATCTTACTATATAAAATGTTATTACATGGTGATTAGACGTAGAGAGAAGATATAATAGTGTCCATAGCCTTTATTTGTCACTGATCCCAATGGTTCAAGGTTCCCAAGTCAAAAGTAAAAGGTGCAAAGACAAATTGTGATGACTTCATGGCGCAGTTGCCAAGATATTGGCCTCGGCGCCGGAGGTCGTGGGTTCGATTCCCACATGGGACAACTGTTTGTGCGACCCACGGACAATCGTTCCGGATCTGGGAGTTTGTCCACGTGAAATTTATGTCTCTAACCTGCGCTTGAAATACGTAATATTGTTATCCTACAGTAAGGGCAATGTTTTAAATAAACCGGCTAAGTGCGAATCGGACTCGCGTACGAAGGGTTCCGTATCATCTAATATATAAAATTCTCATGTTACGGCGCTTGTATTTGACCTTCACCAAAACGGCTCGACCGATTTTCGTGAAATTTTGTGTGCATATTGGCCAGGGTGGAAAATCGGACAACATTTATTTTTCATCCCCCTAAATGTTAAGGGTGGTCTACCCCTAGATTTATTTTTATATAACATTTTTTGTTTTTATTTTTTTATTATACAGCATACAAAAATCCATACAACCCTAAATTTTCACCCCTCTACGCAGACGTAGTCGCGGGCAGCAGCTAGTTATCTTTAAAAATTTCAAAAGAATCATGTCTTAATTCCCCCATTAAATTTTTTTTATTCTGCTTTTTAGTATTAGTGGATATGGTGTTTGAGCGACAACAGAATTACATTAACTGTGAAATTTCAAAAACTATAACGGTTCATGAGGATCATGATGACAGCCGGACAGATAGACAGACAGACAGCGGATTCTTAGTAATAGGATCCCGTTTTACCCTTTGGGTACGGAAACCTAAAAAAACCGCAAATCGGTCCATCGCGTATTTTTGTTAATAAACCATTGGTTTTGGTCACAACTTCAGAGGTTTGTTACAGTTTTTTTAACGAAATTCATCCACGCGAACGACAAGAAAATAGAATTGATTTAAAGTTGCAAATATCAAATTTAATATCAAATTTTTCCTTAATACGTTATATCGATCGACTAACAATATAACGATCTACATGCATAAATCTGAATAGAAATTAAATATGAGTCTTTATGTTCAGATTATGTATTTGTGCCATTTGCTGTTGAAACATTAGGTCCGTGGGGTCCCCGCACATCAAATTTTTTTAAAAGTTTATGTCCTAGGCTTAACGCCGCGGCTGGTGACAAGAGAGCTGGTTCTTTTCTCGCGCAAAGGTTGAGCATAACTATTCAGCGAGGAAATGCAGCTAGCGTTCTTGGCACCATGCCGCGTGGATTAGGTTTATTAGATAATATGTAATTTTAGATGGAATAGAAATTGTTTTCTTTAAATATCGCGTAGTGCAGTCAACAAACTAGATCGCGACCTTCGCCTTGACTAGCCTCACCATTTATAATGCCAATTCAGGTTCCTCGCTTACATAACAAATGTCATTCATTATGGATGCTTTTATTCAGAAACGTTATGCGAAGAGACAGTGCGTCATTTGTGTTCGATAAGCATTTTTTTTTTTTTTAGTTTTGCACGTTTGCGCAGTCATTCATTACTGACATTAATAACTTACGTTGATGGAAAAAAATATGTATAGTATTCATTAATCATACTTCGGAGCACCCTTATCACTTTGACGTTTCGCTAAATAAAGCCCTTGTCAGATTGTTATTGCATATGATTTTAGTTACGTATATATAACTCAGAGCTCCGGAAGATCGGCTACCGAATTACCGGTCACGATTTCGATTTATGCGTCAAGTAGATCAAGTCAATTAGAGTAAAGTAGATATCGACGGTTTATTTTTTATTAAAAAATAGAAAACATGTTCTTAGATTGGACATGGATTATCTGTACTTATTAAAAAAAATCTATTTTTTCCTACAATACCTGGTAAAATGCGATTTTTACGTGTTTTTCTTATTAGTAAAATCCTGCGTTTTAAAGTTATTCCTATTCGAATAATGCTTACTCTTTTAAAAGTTGAAAACTTTTAAACAGACAAAACAACTTTTAAAAGAGCGGCGTAAAACATACAATGGGAATCGATTTAAGACCGAAAATCAACACGAATTCCTCGGACAGGCCGCTTATATGAGATTCGGTGTTGATGAATCGTGAACTGTTGCTATAAATTACTTATAAACTACCGTCTTATCTACTAATAATCAAATTGAACTGGAATTATACATTATATATTGTGTCAATCTATGATTTTTGCAACTGACTTCAAAATTGCAGTAGTTTGGGTTCTCAATTTTCAGTTGCGTTTTATTTTTCATATATATTTGTTATCTCGGACATTGATTTTGAAAATTCTTTTTGCATTGTATTACATTTACCTCCCATGTGGTCTCATATGAAAATGTTAATTAGATATTTCAATTCGGCTTTTTTTCGTACTAACATGTTTTACTCTGACATGATTTGAAAACAAAACATTCAAGTCTGTTGTAGTCTTATACATGCTAATGTTTTATTCTGTCGATGTTTTTCTTTGTAATAAACAGGAGCTCGTATGTATCTATTTCATCTTTGACATCCCTAGTTTTCTTTTAGGTCCTCTATGAATTGGCTGCCACCACAGGTTTCTCTCGCTTGCAAAGCGTTTCCGTAGATTAGCAATTGACTCAGAATGATGGCCTGGAATTATCCTCCAGTCCTACCCAATGTTGTAATATGTCTCACTATATACTAAGCTGTGGTTGCTATGTATGCAATGCAATATTTTTCTTTTGTGATTTTATCTAGATTCTATTCAGTTAAAACATACCTAATAAACTTAAATAAAGCTGTAAGCTGCGGCCTACACAAATCTCCAAAAGTCTCCGCTTGAACGGAGACTAGCGGAACGATCTAACGCTTACATAATGTACAACATTTATAGTAATTATAATTTTATTATTGTAACATAAATGTATGTATAGCTTCCGTACAAAAAAGCGTATCGGTATTGGAGATGCTATCAATATTTTTAACAATTCAGACTGGCTTACTTTTCGAAAGCATCTTGCAACTTTGCGATTAAGTCAGGTTTTTCCATAGTTGCTAAGTTAAAGTATATTAAATCGCACTAACAAACATGCAACATGACTTTAATCATGTATTATTAGTGAATCATACGTGTGGTATTTGTTTTGTTGCTGTTCTTTTTAATATTTATGGTTTTGTTTTATTAATTAATTTAATGGGTTGTGCTTTTAAAGCAATTATGATATCTGTCGCAACTGTGGTAATATTCCACAAACAAACTGGTAATTTTCGAATGTTATAAGAAAGTCCTTGTCGTCCCCTCTAGGTGACTGACAAAAATTTATTACTACTAGCTGACCCAGCAAACGTTGTTTTGCCATATAAATTATTTGTAGGGTAGAAAAAAATATATGGGGTGGACCACCCTTAACATTTAGGGGGTTGAAAATTAGACGTTGTCCAATTCTCCACCCTGGCCGATATGCACACAAAATTTCACGAAAATCGGTCGAGCCTCTTCTGAGGAGCTCAGTTACAAACACCGTGACACGAGAATTACATATATTAAATTTATATACGATCGAAAATATTGTTCAAATAGAAATGTAAACCGTAGTAAGTTATTACTGTTAAGCACCATCATGATAATATGTATAAACATAACAGAGCTGTCGATTGCATAATAGTTTGTTTGTCTTACTTTATCGTTGTAAGTAAATAATATCTCAAACGGCACGTTTACGTCCTCTTTAGATTTAGAACGCAAATTATGTCCAAAATAATTGTTTCTCTATTGAATTATGATCCAATACAGTCCTTAGTATTAACTATTTTAATTACAACTTAATATATTTCACGTCTCGTTAAGCTAACAAAACTGGTCCTCTTACTAAACTCATTATTAAATCACAGAGATAATTTGATATTGCTAATAAGGAACCTTTGATTATGAGATATGTCCTCCTCCGTCGAGATCTTAAGTGGCCAATAGAGTTCTCTCGTAAGCACTACCTGATTGGCTCCTGATTCGCTTTCGAGGTTACGTCCTCTATCTATCCCTTGCTACTTCATAATTAATATCTTCTTCATCCTTCTGCTGCCTTCATCCCGCCAAGGTAGAGTCAGCACAATGAAGCTAAGGATTTTGGCTACTTCCTTAAGACTTGCCTGACGTCAACCAAACTTGGGAACAAACACTCAAATCCGGATCAATTACCTAAATCACACATACAAATCCCCAGGGAGAATGGAACCCACGACCCCCGACACCCAAGCCAATATCTCAACAACTGCATCATCCCACCAGTACTTCCGTGCTAAATATCCCACAAAAGGATGAAAAGACCAAAATCTCGTTAGCTTTTCAATAAAGCAGAATAATTTACTAATTTTATAGTCCACAAGAAGTACCTACATACTGTTAAAATTGTTTTTTTTTTTAATATGCGGTGGCAAGCTAGCAAGGCTTACCTTATCTACAACATTCAAGAGGTTGCAGATGCATTGCCTACCTTTGAAAGAGCGCGACAAATTGCAAGAGTATACCGCATCTATTTCATTTCAATCATCCATGAAGGCGAGATACTCTTGATTGAGCCTCAAACTCCTTCGGAACAGTTTGCGCACTCAGTTTTCTATGGGGCCGTTTAACATGTAGATGTACGTAACGGATATTTACCATGTAGAGGTCTCCATATCGGCACACCTTCCAGAAGCCCTTGATTGTGGAGATCATGTTGCGGGCGCGACGTTCCCCGAAACGGGCCGCAACCGCCCTCCTGAAACACGAAACACCAAATCAATACGGAATCCGAGAATCTCGCAAATCATTCCAATCTGGCAAACGGGCTGGTGGTTCACCAGATGATAAACGCCGCCCATGAACCAAACATCAGCAAGCTTAGCAAAACTCGTAGGGTTGCAGATGCGTTGCCACCGTTTGATGAAGTGGGCCCCTGCTACCTTACTCACCAGACGGAACGCAGAAATGTAACACGTCCACTTCAGGCGGGTCTTCTGTGAGGTTGTGGTACTCCCCCGAACGGACCTGCCCATTCGTGCAACAGTGAAGAAGGCTATTTCGTGGTCGTACTACAATTAAAAAGTATTCGCTATTCTCTGTTATATTATTTTTAACTTTTTTCACACGTGGTTGAAGAAATTATTGACTCGTAACTTGCTCGATGTTCACTTTGTACTGGCGATTAAGTTCGCCCTTTGTAATCCTTGTTTTAGGTAATAATAATTATTTTTAATCATTATTAAATTTTAATAAATAAAAAATAATTAAATATGATTGTCAATAGTGAAACGATTATGTTGCTCTATATATTTTCATCCATACTATACAAACTACATTGCAGAAGTCCAGACTCGCGGTCTGCCAGCGGGCTATGGAGCGCAGTATGCTAGGTCTAAAGCTTACAGACCGCGTAAGAAATGACACACTGCGCTCCCAAACGCGAATTTCCGATGCGGGCCAAAAAGCTGAGAAGCTTAAATTTTACTGTGCTGGTCATGTCTGCAGAAATGTAAGAACGGCACGCGGCGGGCCCAGGCGGAGATGACGCGACGAACTGGACGCATTTGTGGGGGATTGATCCCGTATGGCCCATGACAGGAAGGAGTGGAAGAAATGGAAGGAGGCCTTTGCCCAACAGTGGGACACTAATGGCTGATAAAGTAAAGTAAAAAGTATAAACCGGCATGAAATGGAAGTTGTTATACTTCGCGTTTCGTCTGCCCAATTTTTTGAAGGTTGTCAACCCATACACCTTCAGGTGCTATAGATGCCCATGGGCGGCAGTATCCACTTATCATCGGCTGCTCGCTTGAGCCACATAAAAAAGAACAAAAACATCTTTTTATAATATTAGTGAACATAAGGTCGTTGACACTTTTCGACTTCTGAATAACGACGTAACGCAGACTGTCACTTTATTGAGTGTGTCCGATAAAATCCTTTTATAGATTTTGATGTCCAATCCATCAGTGTAATCAGCGGTGTCGGTTTAAAGAAAATACTACGCCTTTGTTCGTTTTTTGTTTGAGCCCATTTAGATCGTTGAATGGTTTTTCGTTTTACGAGTTAATGGACGCTTTCAATGTGTGTGACAGATTTCGTTACTGGTGATAGAATTTTGACATAAGTATTAGGGAGTTAATGTCAAATATCGCTAGTAACCAAATCTATCTGTACATAGAATATTGAAACCTGCCGAAATTCCTGCATAATTATATGTACACTTATTTCTACGGCAAAGTGGTTCAATCCTTTATGAAATTAGGTATACAGGTAGTAGGTGTATACCTAATTTCATAAAGAAACAAGTATGAGCATACGCGAAGGCGTAGAAAGAGATAGTAAATTTTACCAACGTTTCGTCATGGTCATGAAGTCCCATGCAGGACACATCAGGTGACGATAGAGCATGAGACAGATTGCTGCTGAAAATTGTTTCACACGACCGTTCAAACCCGCGACTTGGCATCGCAAGTTCGACACCCTAACCACTGAGCCGCCGCTACCCACTGCCAGCGGCCAAATTTGTATCGGCCGCGAGCGTTTTGCATTGTTCCGCGCACAATGAAATTAATTCAGTCCACACTGAGATATGTCACGTCATGAATAGGACAAAGAACCAGCGACACGAATGCAGTATCGTATCGACGTACAATTTTAATTTTGACCTTAAATTTTGACGCGCTATTTTGCGACGCAGATGTCGATCTAAATGATTCATCGCAAAGTTTTTTATGTGAACTACATTCTAATTCCGCCCACGCATAGCGCTAAGTTAGATTGAAATTTGTTGCGGGAATGTTGACGTTGAGGTCGCGGGATGTAATCCAGTGAAGCGCATAAATTAAGTTAGTGATTGTTATTTGTTATGCGAAAATCACCACCCAACATTTATGTATGTTGGGTACAACATAACATGACAAGTGGTCAAGTCTTGGGACAGCGAAAGCTATTCGAAACGTGTCCCCACAGAAGACCGGCGTAAAGTAGAAGTGTTACACTTCTGCGTTTCGTCTGGTGAGTGAGGTAGCCGGGGCCCACTTTATTTAAAGATAGCAAAGCATTTGCACGTGTTACAAATCCATGTCCATGGGCGGCGGTTATCACTTAACATCGGGTGAACCGCCAGCTCGTTTGCCACTTTCTCCCATAAAAAGAAAATTGTTTTTGTTTGAAATTGCTTCAATAATCTACTGTTAATAATGGGTTTTTTGGTCTATATATTCATGTGAACTGTAAAAAGTATCTTATAGTTACAAGCCGTTATAGCTTAGTATCCGCGCGCTCGGTTTTAATTCTATACGCTCGACCAACTTGAGTTCGAATCCCGGGACCGGCACCACGAAAATTGTTGATTGTAATTAAAAGTTCATCGCGATAATCCAGCATTTTTTCCAAATAATAATAAAAAATATATTTCGAAGATGTGTAAAGTCTGCCGATCCGCGAATGCGTCGCTTGGTGGACTATATCTTCCGTACAGGGGAGGTCTTTGCCCGACATTGGAACATCCTCTATGCTACTTTAATTTTTCCTTTAGAGTCTCAAAATAATACTAAAGGTGGATACCAATAGCGATCTCTATCCATCCTTACGGCGATTAGGGACTTGAATATAATAAATACATTAAACAATAGTATTTAGTGTAACGATAAACGCGCTGGTTACTATTGACTCGGACCTAATCAGATTTATTGAATGTTACGCAAACTAGGCGATACGCTATCGGCACAAGTAAACACCTGATATAACATTTATCTCAATGCGCCGTGACTGACGACGTCTATTTATTCGATCTGAATCCAGATCACGAATTAGGTTGACCAGAAATTATTTTAACCGTGGTAGGGCCACGCATTAGACGCCCTACCAGCAATGGGCAGGTCAGTCTGGGTAAGTACCACGACCTCACAGAAGACCGGCGTGAAGTGGAATTGTTATAACTCTAGGTAGCCGGGGCCCATTTGATTATTGTAATTTGCGTATTGTAATTGTCCATGGGCGGCGGTTATCACTTGACATCAGGAACCGCCCATTCGTGCAACAGAAAAGACCGTTTCGTGACCCTACAATACTTCATCTTCACACCGGTCTTATGTAATGCCGTGGTACTTCCACCGGCGAGCCTGCCCATTTGCGATACAGCAGATGCTGCAAGATCAATAGATCAAATTAGTGACATGCCCATTTATCCCCTGTTTGCTTTGACTCTTTGCGCCTCCTTAAAACGATTTTGAATTAGCATTACACATATGTGTATATATTTATTTTACGCTAATTCAAAATCTTATTAAGTATGTTATTACTGTGTCGTGAGCACCATTAAAGGTGTTCGCGACTTCCTAATTTAAAATGGTGGGCAAAATATAGAAATACGTAGCGATATCGTCATCGACGTATTACGGTTTAGCCCCAGCAAAACTGTTTACCGTTTAGTACAATTACTTGCGATTTAGTGTTGGCTTGGATGTAGAGAAATATTCTCTCAGAATAGACCTGAAAATGTCGATGCCACGGGGGTCGGAGAAGATGTCAAAAAGTCCTATTTTATCTCTAAGAAGCATCATCTTCTTACTCTTGCTAGGGTTATAGTCTAAATTCCAATGATGAACTTAGCTTCACGATAAACATCATCATCAGAAACTAAGGGGAACTTGGGGCATATCTTCGAAATATGGTTTTCTTAATACTTACGCATTTAGGTCTTCTTACAATATATTTTATTATTCTAACCACGTCACTCTTCAGAATTTTAAGATCAAGGTTGGTTTTTTGGAGAGAATTGTGTTTAGACCTTTTAGAGTCCTAAAAACAGTGCGGGCCCTTTCCGCCCTGACATTACCGTCAGAAACAATCATGCTTTTGCCGCGTTATTGCCCGGCAGGCGTGCAACGCGCATGATGAATCGTCGCAAACGCAATCACTGCCCGCTGCTATAGTGATGCGCCCATCTACTACTAAGACCACAATTGAGACCGAACGGAGACCGCCCGTTACCTAATTAAAAAAGTTTAAAGAGACTTTCATGTGTCATATGGTATGCTACGAGTACCTTAGTCGATTTTAATGCAATATGCCCTATCAATCTGACTTGGCGATTGACAATCGACCAGGAACCTACATATGTTGGACTCGGTGGCGCCGTTACTGAGCTATTGGCTTCGACGTCGAGGTTCGTGGGTTCGATACCCACACGGGAGAAGTATTTGTGTGACAAAATATTTCCAGATCTGGGTGTTTGTATCCCAAGCAGGGTCGGACGTCAGTCAGGCGGCCGCTCGTAAAATTCATAGCCATCTTACAACATGATTCAAATGTTGTGCCGACCCCATCTAGGTGGGATTAAGTCAGGAGGAAGATGATGATGAAAATTTTGACGCCTTTGGGTAGTCTGCCAATCCGCACGAAGTACTCAGAAGGTATATGCGTTACAATTGACAATGCTCAAAACAAAATATTTATTTTACCGGGAACTTTGTTTGACATTTGTTTCACAAACAAAACCTGTGGCTTAAACACAAATGACTTGGCGCGAACTAACGATTTGAATTACGAAAACTAAATGTTTTCGTAATTCTTAACAAACTTTTAATAAACTTTTTGCTTTAATGACAATCGACCATTAAATAGTTAATGTTTAATAACGACCGATTACCAGTCATAGTTTCACTTGCAATAGTTAAAATGACAGGTTCTTTCTTACGCTATAAAATAAAATAAGGCTAATGTGTTGGTCTCTTTAAGATCTCAATAACATTGCCTGTTTCTAACAGCATTGACGTCCCAGTACTCCTATCAGTTACAATTATGTTAGAGACTGCATTGTATTGTACTTCGGCTGCCATTGCTTTTAATAAGAAAATAAATAAATTGTTCGAATGAGCACGCAAAATGTTAATAAAAAAATGTAATTAAGATATTCATAAAATGTCTTTACTTAAGCTTTAAAAATTCTTACAGAATTACGTTTGTTCTTAGTTTTTATACATATTTTCATTTATGTAGAAAATGTAGAAATACTCTATTTCTTTATTTCTTTAATAAAATACTTTATTTCTTTAGAATTATATGAAAACACTTTTTGAATTATAGTCGTTTCATTTGATTATGAACTTCCAACGTACCTATAGAATACTTCACGGGCAGTACTTAAATTAAATTCCGCAACATTCCGTTGTACGCGATAAATATAGTCATATTAAAAAAATTATGCTAATAGAATAGACATTTAACACCGTTACAGTTGAAGCGGGCAAGTTTGGACGAGTTACATTTACTTTGCAAACAACAACGTTTGTAATAGAAATTAAATAATTACGATCATTTTGAAAGAATTTTTTTCTTCTTTTTCGTTCTCACACAAAAACTGGCCAGTGCCAACCGTCTCACCTGATGATGAAAAGCGATGTGATCTTAGACCGTAAACTGACTCTGTAAGAGATCTCCCCTCTCGTCTTGAAAACGCACCCACAATACTCGGAAGGGAGAACCGACGCGGGCAAATCTCATGTTCCTATCTCCGCGCGCGGAGAGATTCCGGGCCGATTAGGAATCTATTTCGGTCGAAGCCCAAACGTCTATCAATAACCGGGGGCGCCTTGAACAAAAGACCCACCGCCGTCGCCCAAGGAATCCCACGAGGCGCGCTCACGTGCTCTTAAATAAAACACTCACAAACAGCACCGGCATAAAGTTCAAACACTCACGAATTTTTCATAACACGACCTGGGAAACGGTGTTATGGAAACGACGAAGCGAAACCCATTGTTGACTCCGTGCCTGTCGTTATACGTATAACGTTATATTTAACGGCGAAAATGCGAATTTATGATAACGGTTTGTTTATCTGTGTTTATATATTTTAAAAAAAATAACATTACATTCGCACTGTTCACGCATGGATATAAGACAATTTCCTAGGCTTGTTTCATCAATCTGTATGACAATTTCCCGCGAAAAATCTACACTGCTTTTCGGGACGATAAATTATTATGGTCTACTTACTCGTGAGAGTTCTTCCCCTGGTCCCCCAACTTGGAATTTTTTTATATCAACACAATAGTAATATCGATGGATTTGCTAAATTATTGTTACTATTCTTAACACTGGACACTGATATTTTTTTTTTTAATTTGGAACACGCGATCGCGCGGGACTCGATCGCTTCCGATCGTAGATTCTTCGGCTGATTATTTTTATTTTTTTTTTATTATTCTCTCAGTTCCGAGGCAATGTCACATCGCAGTCGGATGCGGAGCGGCGGCGGACTGTATTAAAGAGCCTGCGCTCTTGACCTTGCGCTACTCTGTGGCGAACTGAAGCCGTTTTTCGTCCACGCCGCGCGTTTTATAACGCATCATTGTTTGTCATAACAGCCGCCGTGGCTCCTCACGTTTGCGTGCAAAGGAACGCTGCCCCAGCGCCGGCGACTAAAGTTAATTAGATCGCTATAAATTATTAGTAGGGATTAGTTAATTAATTACTTTAAGCAGTTTTTTTTTTATTTAAACAAAATAATTACTAAGAATTGTTTCACGGTATGTTTGTTATCATGTGTCACACCTATTAAAAAAGTTCGGATAATTATCATTAAGACCTAATGTAGCCAACTTATTTTTAATTATTTTAATTAGGTTTATTAATGAACAAAGATTATTTACAATGCTAAATCTAAATAAATTGAATTCAATTTCCAAAACTATGAAACATAAGTCAATATCAAAATCATATTATATCCATTTATGTATCGCATACTTGATGTACATAAGTTTATTATTTCATGATAACAATATTTTCAACTTCCATATACAAAAAAAGGTGTAGGTCTGTACCTACCCATTACAATAACCGACCGCTCGCTATAATTTATACATTATTGGACTTCTTACTTCTACATGTTTATGGCCTTAATATATTTTCGTGATTTAGTAGCGTCAATACATTACTTGCTCATTAATCATCCATTGCCTACGGACGCCTGGGCCGTCTGAAAATCAGCGCTGCAAATTTTGCGCGGCGTATGCTGAGGCGGTTCTTTCCGTCACTACTTTAAAATTTACAAATAACTTTTATTTTTGTTTTACTTTCACTATTTTTTTATTAATTTTATGTAATTTTTTTTTAATTAATTATTTTGTCGTTTTTTTTATTTCTACTCTAACTAAATGTACCATAATTGTGTACAGTTTAAATGTCTTATGACTGTCTTATGTCTTAATCACAGCACTCGCCTAGCTAAATAGCCAGTGAATTCTCCATATCTCTGAAAAAACAATAAAAGAATCTATCCTAAACTAAAGGCAAAGAATAAATACCAAATATAAGTTTGATTTTTTCAATTAAATCATTAAGTCTATGTTCAGCAGTAGCCTCGACCAGGCTGAAATTATTAAACGATGATTAAAAATATATTTTAATTAATGTTTCAAAAATAATAAAAGTAGTGATCGTGAGGACAGACTAACAAAAGGGCGCGAACGTGTTTTATAAATATGGCGGAAGCGATGTAAACACTGTCATGTGAAAGTTCTGTAGAGCAGCGCAAAAAATAATTAATTTATATACATGTACTTCAACGTGCATCATTGGGAAGATAAATTTAGTTTAAACACATTATGGCTGCCAGAACCGTTTTGTGATCGACGAATGGTGATTGACATGACGTCAATCATCAAAAAACTTTTATTACAATCAATGGCGAAGGCACATTTACAGTTATTAATACTATATTTTCTATTATAGTTCTTGTTTATTAATTTTATAATTATATAGCTTGTAGCCTATCGGCTAAATTCTAAAGGTAGGGTAGGTGGGTTCAAGGATTCGGTGTTATTTCTTTTAAACAACAACAAACTTTAAAGCTAAAATTTCGAATTAAATATATTCTACTCACGGATTTATTTATTTATCTAAACGTCATTTAAAAATAATTAAGTACAAATGACATCGTGTTATTTCAAAATTCAAATTATTTCGTAATATAACAGACGCGAATCAAGTACTAATTAGTTATAATGAATAGTAACCTGAAGTAGCTTCTGACAAATGACAACATTATTTTAAATACGAGTTAATACCAATTCAATGAGTTCTTTTTTTATATGAATATTACAAAATAATAATTATTAAATTTCGCTTTCGACTTTCGAGAGGGGAGCGTTTTATTTTAAATTAAGATTGATAAATTCTAAATGAGTTTAACATAAACATTTCCACGAAGAATCGTACAAATCTTTTAGGGTGGTAGGACCACGCTACAGTGTTCGCTGTTGCAGGAATGGGCAGGTCCGTCCGGGTCAGTACCACGACCTCACAGAAGACCGACGTAAAGTGGAAGTGTTGCACTTCTGTGTTTCGTCTGGTGAGTGAGGTAGCCGGGGCCCACATTATTAAGAGGTGGCAACGCATCTGCAACCCTACGGGTGTTGCAAATGTCCATGGGCAGGCGATTATCACTTAACATCTGGTGAACCGCCAGCTCGTTTGCCACTTTCTCACATAAAAAAACAAAAAAAAAAACTGCTGCTGATAAACATAAAAATATTAAGTAATGACAAGTTATTTTTATTTATGTATTTCCTTCTATTAACCTTTACGATACTTAAATAAAAGGAGATTCTTTTAAAATCTGCTTCATTTCCTGTAGGATTACTACGACTGTATATTAAATTAAGCTGTTTTTCACGACCACGACCTGGTTCCTAAAGATCAGTGATAATAAAGATGAAGTAATATAATTGATTTATTGATAACTTTTCAAAGACAAACAAACTATGTCACAAATCAAATCCCCTACGCAATATACAACAAGATAACGGTACAATTGTCATTGATATAGCATTATATTCATTGCTAAGATAACAGAAATGCATTGAACCCGCGGATCGCACAATAAATTAATTTTAATTACTTATTAATATGAAGTATTTATATAACAGTATAATTTTACAAGGGAACAATTTGACCGCACATTTTCATCTGTCTTAAATATCTCACTTTTCTTAAACTTTTCTGATCTAGTATCGAACTTATATTAAATTCAGATATAAACAGAACGACGATAATTGTCCCAAAACTATTATAGCAGCGCATCCCAGCAGCAGAGCTTGAGACGTTTTCGATGAATTATCACACTCACAAACGTCAGTCAGCTCTTAACTACAGTTAAATTGGTCTCATCGTCATGTGAAACGTTTTTGAAACGTCGTCGACCGAATTTGACGCATGCCAAGTCAACTAAATTGGCACAATGTCGAACAGTGGCGCGCTGAAAACTTTCCAAAGCGTGTGCACACCACAATTATCAGATTGAGTCAACAGAAGTGACAATTCAAAGACACAAACAGGCGCAAACGCCGCGCGAAGAGATTACCGCGCCCCATTGTAACGGAGATTTGTGACTGTGTCACGGCGCGGGATTGATTTGCACACAATGGGCGCGTGTCACGGTCGGCGCTTTTTTTGCGATACATCCCGCTTTCCCCGGGCTCGGTGGCTCAGGCGCGGACGAGATCTCTACTACACATCACGATAGGGAGATTGAGTTAATGAGTTGCACAAATGAGCTCATCAACACTCTTATTGCCACCACAGCCAACGATAGGGACAATGAGTTAATGAGTTGCACAAATGAGCTCATCAACACTCTTATTGCCACCACTGCCAAGGATAGGGACAATGAGTTAATGAGTTGCACAAATAAGCTCACCAACACTCTTATTGTCTGTTCTTTTTAATCTTCCGATATTTGGGAAATGAATGATTCATCTGATGAGAAATTATTACCGCTGCCAACACTGGTGGTTACATTAACACCGTTCCTTGGGTGATCGCCAGTCATCCCATTCGTCACTCATGTCATCATCATCATCATCATATCAGCCGTAGGACGTCCACTGCTGAACATAGGCCTCCCCCATTGACTTCCACTTCGACCGGTCGTTAGCGGCCTGCATCCAACGCGTCCCTGCGATCTTGGCTAGGTCGTCCGTCCACCTTGTGGGAGGCCTTCCTACGCTGCGTTTGCCGTCACGTGGTCTCCACTCGAGAACCTTTTTGCCCCAACGGCCATCGGTTCTTCGAGCTATGTGCCCTGCCCACTGCCACTTCAGCCTGCTGACTCGCTCTGCTATGTCGGTAACTCTAGTTCTTCTACGGATCTCCTCATTTCTGATTCGATCTCGTAGAGAAACCCCAAGCATTACCCTTTCCATAGCGCGCTGTGCGACCGCGAGCTTCCTTATGAGGCCCATAGTGAGAGACCACGTCTCGGCACCGTAGGTCATCGCTGGTAGCACGCACTGGTTAAAGACTTTCGTCATTAAGGACTGTGGTATTTTGGACGTAAAGACGCTGCGCAATTTCCCGAACGCAGCCCAGCCGAGCTGGATTCGTCGATTGACCTCCTTCTCGAAGTTGGATTTGCCTTGTTGGACCATTTGCAGTGAATCACTCATGTGATTCACTGCAAATGAGATGATGAGGTTATTCATGCTTCATCTTTTCTTCGGACTTTTTAAACGTTGCAATCCCCCAGACGAGACAGCCCTGCCCATTTGTGCTACAGATGATGCTGCGTGGCTGTAGCAAGGTATGGCAATGAAAATTGACGCTTTTTCCCTTGGAATTAGCGGCAATTCTTCGGTAATTGGTAACCATTATATGTATTTAATAAACGGATCAGCACAAAATTCATTTTCATTTGCGTGTTGGTACGAAGATTAGGTTAGTTGCCTGTCTCACGCAATCATTCTTGGTGACACGTGTACTCGTTTAATGTCATGTAGGGTCGAAACACGTGAGAGTTTTTTTTTTTGAGTAAAAGTTCTAATAAACGTTACAAGCGTTCGCGCTAGCTTCGTAACTTTATTCTGAATTTATATTGAAAAGGAACTAACTGATAAAGTTCTGAACATGTCATTATTGAAATAATTATTTCCATTGTCTAGTTGTAGATGACATCTTTTATAAGCGACTCAATAAACTTAAGGTTAATCATTTAACACATTATAAATATTGAAACTTACCATTCAACGGTGACGCCATTAAATTATTTAATATAAGTTTTCCCTTAAAAATCAAATAAAGATAAGTCTTAATTATAACTCTTAAATAATAAGTCTAAATAAGGTGTTGTTAATGCAATGCCGTGATAGCTCAGTGTCCGGGCGCTCGCCTTTAATTCAATATACTCGAGCAAACTGAGTTCGATCCCCGGGGCCGGCACCAATGAAGTTTTTAACTTTAAGTGCTCACTTATCACGTGCACCGCGGTGAAGGAAAACATCGTGAGGAAACCTGCATATATTCGAAATAATACCAAAAAATATATATATCGGAAATATGTGAAGTCCGCCAATCCGCAGTAAGGCCGCGTGGTGGACTATGCCCTGATACTCTCTGTATAGAGGAGACCTTTGCCCAGCAGTGGGACATGTATAGGTTGTTACTTTACTTTTTTTTAATGCAATGCTTGCGAAACCTGAGTGGTTTACAGACAAATGTAAATTTAATAAAAATTGGTTGTAATAAAATATAATAATTAAAATGTTGGTTGTAATAATTATCGGCGGAAGGGCCACGCAGCAGCCTCGGCTATTGCACAAGTGGGTAGGCTCGTCCGGGTAACCTCATAGAAGACCGGCGTAAAGTGGAAGTATAATACTTTCGCGTTTCGTCTGGTGAGTGAGGTGGCCGAAGCCAAATTTTCAAAAGGTTGTCAACGCATCTGCAACCCTCGGGTGTAGGAGATGTCCATGGGCGGCGGTATTAACTTAACATCTCGTGAACCGCCTGCCCGCTTGGCAACTTTTTACATTAAAAAAATGTTATAGTTGTATAGAACATAAGGGACGTTACAACTTAGACCTGTATTATACCATGTTTGAACAATTAAACGTATCTTTCTTTCTTCTTTTTGAATTCTGTGCGCCATTTACATGACAACTGGTGCTGGGACACAATCGGTTGATTAATTGAATGGTTATATAAATCAAAAGTATAACATGTAACCAATTCTATATACAAACACGCTACAATCCATTGTGCTAAGCCGTACGCAAGTCCTGCCGATGCGTGTCATTATTAAAAACAATCCAATGTGTTTGCAAACTTCTCACATTGCCGCGTCACTGACCTATGACATTTTACTTGTATTGTACTTTAACTGATAACC